CCCCCCCATCCCCTGGGACCCCATACTAAAGTAGAAGTCAAAGCAGAGCGTTCCTTTTCCTTCCAAGTGTGTGAACTAGCCGGTTCTGGACGTACATATCTGAGTAGAGACACATGACATGACCAAGTCCGGGTGTACTGAATCGTGTTCTGGTGACACCCAAGGGGTGGCTAGGCTGGTGGTGTTGCTTCTGTGAACTTGATTAATTCTATTGTTTCAAATTCCCGTGTCCATGAAATCACCCCCTCTTCCCCCCCCCCTTCTCTCTCTCTCTCTCTCTCTCTCTCTCTCTCTCTCTCTCTCTCTCTCTCTCTCTCTCTCTCTCTGCGTGTGTTTGTGTACTGGACAGTCAACTGCGATACACCTTCTTAACGTCGCCTAACACATACTCACTATCAGCACTGGTAATTTAGACAAGACCTTGTTCTTGCTTTCTGATTTACACTGAGAGACAAGCTCTTGTGATAAACTAGACTGTTTTTAGAGTTCCCTTTTAGTTCCATACAACAAGAGCGCAGGGTAGACTCACTGGGCCAGTAATCCCTTCTGAATGGACTGTACAAGGGACATTCTTGCAGGACATGTTCTGTAGTCCGCGCACACAGCCCGACGAAGCCTCGTTAAGTTTATGTCCTGTCTTGAGGCATATAATAATGACCTGCCCATGCCGGTCAAGTAAGTGGTAGTCATCTCTGGCCAGACTGTTCACTTCTCATAGACTGGACAGCCTTTTTCTTCTCATAGCATTCTCTTGCTGTTTATAATACACTTCTTTCTTAGCAAGAGAACAGACCTGTTGTGTATTCAGTGGAATTCAAGAGTTGGCCCACATAAAACAGAGCGCGTTTGTGACTGTCATGCAGAGCCTACTTCTGGTCTTTATCTCTGTATTAGAGAAATGCGTGCGCTCTGTGGGGAAGTCTGCCAGATGAAGGCTTGTTTGTGTCCACACCAACAATGGCATTTCTGTTGGCTACAGGTGTCTGGCCTATGCCTTGGTCTGGCTGACACTGCATCAACACACACTGCCGTTATGTCAAGCACCGAATACAGACAAGCTATCCGTTTATTGTGGAAAAGGGGGGGGGGGTCTGTTTTTTCTCTTCTCTAAATATATCCTTATTTAAAAATTGTAAATGTTTCGTTTCGTAACTGTACATTGTGTACATTTTAACAATCTGGGGGTTTTTGTTTGTTTGTTTGTTCGTTGTCAATGTATTGCTTGGGTTTTTGTTCAGAAAAGCTGGGTTTTTCAAAAAAATATTCTATTGGCAGCCCTGCTATGTTTGACAGAACACACGAACAACAGTTTTATTGAGAAAAGCCAAGCTACAGTTGTTACAGAAACAGAATACAGCTGTTTTAGAAATGACAGAATAGTCTTGCCACCATTGAAAGGTTGGGTTTACATGACACACAGCGTGTGGAGACCACAGATAACTGTGCTGTCAATGACATTTTCCTCTGGCCAGTTTTGAGTAGCCAGGCTAGTGAGAGGCAGTGTTGACATTTACTTTGAGGGCATCTGCGAGGTCGGCTCTTCCGGTGGTTACTAATCGGTAACTATCTGGAGCGATTACTTGCACACGGGTAGCACCAGGCATGGCAAGAGGACTGTGATTGACTGGTGTTAGTGCTGCTGGCTACAACTCCTTGCCGTCTCAGATCATATCTCTATCTGTCTCTCTCTGCGTGTGTGTGTGTGTGAAAAGATAGGAGTTACTGTAGCGGGAATCGAACCTGTCACCTCCAAATGGCATGTGCGCCTCGCTATGGAAACAAGTGTACTGAGAATATGCCCCCCCCCCCAACTCCCCCAAACGTTTAAGAAAAATAAAAAGATTTGATTGGTTGGTTCAATTATGATACACGTAATTACACAAATAAAGAGGAAAAAAAAGGGGGGGGGGGGGTGTGGCTTGATGCTGTAGAAATATTATGTGTGTCTGTCTGTGTGTGTGTGTGTGTGAGAGAGAGAGAGTATTGATCGGCAATACGGAAGAATTAGAAAGATAGAAGGAACAACATAATAATCGATAGCTATAGTGACCGTTTGGGGAATCGAACCTCTCACCTGCATATGACATGTCTCAGATTGCCACTTGTCTGTCACTGACAGGGACGGATAAAACACAAACTGACAGCTGAATGCTAGTGGTGTATCGAGCATATGAGGCCAGACATCATTGTACTGTCCAAGCAGCACTCGGTGGCTGATATGATCAGGATCACGCCGGTCGTCTTTGACATAGTTTAGGCTCAGTCTGCTCGGGTAGCCAAGACGTTTGGGACAGAAAGCAGAGCTTTCCAAACTGTGTCGCAACACGTTAGTGTGTGTCGTCTGCAGTGTCAAGGTGTATCGTGCGAACAGCATTAAGCAGTTTATATTATATCTGTATTTTTTTTTAAAATAAAGGGTTAATGTAACCTGTGGTTGGCTAGTAAGTAGAATGAATGACCATGTCAGGAGATTGTTTGTCAGACAAGTGTCATCAACATGAACAGTTGAAAAGCTGTGCACTGTGACCATTGATGCCAAGGTTTCAATCAACAGAGCCGCTCTACACCAGGGTGTGCTCTGAAACAGAGTTGTGTGTACAGCGTTGGAGTCGCTGTCAGAAAACATTGTTACATCTGCTGAAATATGGCTGTGCAGGCAGCCACAGATAGTCTCATGACACATTGCAGTGTATTCTAGGCTGCAGCGTCGTCAGCACCACTGTTTCCCAATCTTTTCTTAGTCGCGGCGACTTTTTTCAACAACAAAAAAAAAAAAAATTTCCACGGCGCCCTAACCTGAGTAAAAGTAAGACTATTCGTATGTAAGAGATAAAAAAAACAAACTTGTGTATCTTTGAATATTTCACGGCGCCCCCGTGAGGAGGTCGCGGCTCCCCGGGGCGCCACCGCCCACAGTTTGGGAATCACTGAATTAGACAACCACAGTATTTATCCACGAATATCAGAAACATGGAGAAGAATTGTAAGCCACTGTCCCCAATGTGTAGTCCAGCCACTGTCCCCAGTGTGTAGTCCAGCCACTGTCCCCAGTGTGTAGTCCAGCCACTGTCCCCAGTGTGTAGTCCAGCCACTGTCCCCAGTGTGTGTAGCCCACTGTCCCCAGTGTGTAGTCCAGCCACTGTCCCCAGTGTGTAGTCCAGCCACTGTCCCCAGTGTGTAGTCCAGCCACTGTCCCCAGTGTGTAGTCCAGCCACTGTCCCCAGTGTGTAGTCCAGCCACTGTCCCCAGTGTGTAGTCCAGCCACTGTCCCCAGTGTGTAGTCCAGCCACTGTCCCCAGTGTGTAGTCCAGCCACTGTCCCCAGTGTGTAGTCCAGCCACTGTCCCCAGTGTGTAGTCCAGCCACTGTCCCCAGTGTGTAGTCCAGCCACTGTCCCCAGTGTGTAGTCCAGCCACTGTCCCCAATGTATAGGCATAGGGACAGAAAGAGAACGAAAATTGGAGAATTTGGAGCTGTCCAGAAGCAAAATTTGAACAAAGAAATAAGAAACAGAGGATTAAAAAAAAAAAAAATAGATTGCACAGAAGGTCTGCTGGCATTGCTGCCTATATTGTCATGTATTTTCAGGGGACAGAGAAATTTTCATGTCTGTGATCGCCTGCCAGCTATTGATTGATTGATTGATTGATCTCCATTGTCTGCCATTCTCACACATAGAATGCCACACATTGTACAAGGTTGCACCAGACAGAGGCAGTTTAGTGGGACAGTCTGGTTGGGTTCACCAGGATCATGGGACTAAGAACCCTTGTAGGAGGCTTACATTCTGTTGAAACTTGGGTGATTTGCTGGGCTTGGTAAAAGGTGGCGGATGTGTTGGGATGGTTAGGGGAGATAGGGAGTTGCACGTTGGTTATGTTGATGTTGGGAAGGTTTGAAGGGAGTTGATTTGGAAAGAGGTGATGCGACCGGATGGTTTGGGGAGATAGGGAGTTGCACGTTGGTTATGTTGATGTTAGGAAGGTTTGAAGAGAGATGGTTTGGAAAGAGATGACGCTGCTGGATGGTTAGGGGAGATAGGGAGTTGCACGTTGGTTATGTTGATGTTAGGAAGGTGTGAATAGAGATGGTTTTGAAAGAGATGACGGGACCGGATGGTTAGGGGAGATAGGGAGTTGCATGTTGGTTTGGGGCAAGATAATGAATGTCACCTTAGTTTTGGGAGATATTAAGGGAGGGAGGGGGGTGAGGGGGGGTCGTCTGAAGAGTGGCACAAGGATTTGATTTGGGGAGAGAAGGGGAATGGCATGTTTATTTAGGGAGATAAGGAGTGACATAATAGTTTGGGAATGGGTCTTACATGCAGGTCTTGCACAAAACCCTAGATAGATCAAAGGATCACAACTGAAAAGAGGAAAGTCTTGGATAGTGCAAGCTGAAGACACAAGTAGGCTTGATTGCAGGCTTCATAATGTTGGACTAGGAGAGTAGGTGGATGTGCCCCAGCAGCAGTCAGTCACATGTGTGTGTATGGTTCTAATCACATTGGACTGGGAGTGCAGGTACTAGCCAGCGGTTGTGCAGAATCAGAAGTTCCACAACTGATGCGTTGTTGTTGTTTCCTATTGAAGGTGTGAAGCTTATAGAAATTCATCCATGAATGAAGTTGCAGTATGCTGATGCGTACCTGCTAGTCTAGCAAGTGTATGAATGGAGTAGGAAGTGGTGGAAGCTGTTTTCATGACACCCCCTCATAGGTGTTGTCAGTCCGGTTTTCATATACTATGTACACCGTAACAAAGCAAAACTTTTGGCCATGACAAACACCGGCGCAAGCCAAACTTTACGGGTCGCTGATTGAATTAAACAGTGAGATTCATAGTAGAGATAACATTGCAGATATAGATAAGAAGAAGAATAAATATACTCTGTTGATAAAAGCCACATTGACTGTAGCTTTTCTTGTAGTTAAAAAAGAGGAAGTTGTGTCTAGGTCACTGATCCAGCAACTGTTTCTAACTGAGATGATGATGTTTACAGCTTCCACACGCTGTGAGCTCCCAGTTCATGTTTGCTGTCAGAGGCTACAGCAAGGATAGAGAGATTCAGACAGCCCTGGACTGGTTGCAGACTGAGGTAAACTTGTAGACACACAATTATTGTTTCTGTTCACAACAGTTCTTGTGATGGCCAGCATTTCTCTCGATCTGGCTGTTAACAAGTTGTGATGATCAAAATTTCTGTTAACAAGTTATTGTGATGATCAAAATTTCTGTTAAGTTATTGTGATGATTAAAATTTATGTAAACAAGTTATTGTGATGGTCACAATTCCTAATAACCAGACAGTTATTTTGATTATTAACATTTCTAGTAACCACACTTATTGTCATGATCATTGAAGTTTATAGGGAAAGTTCAACAGCATGTTAACCAATGGTAAAGCCTGATTGTAGCAGTTAGTAGGGACTGAAGGAATTTGGAATAACAAGTTTATAACCAAAAACAATTGATATTGAAAGATAGACTAGATCTTGTGGTGGGTTTGCCAGCAGTATTCCCTACAAATATGGATGAGGCATATCTGATGTGTGTGGAGCTTGTCATGTCATTGACCCATACACACACACATACACTGGTATAATAATTGTAGAAATTAAAGTATAGAGTTCTGTTTTAAAATAAGAAGAAAAAATAATACTACTCTCAAAGAATGGGTCCTGCCCATATCTGCAGTTATAGTCAAGGGGACTGATTGTGGGTAAGAACTGAAGGTCAGCTACGTAGTTACACAGGTACAGAACAACTTGTTGCTTGAGGGTCTATGCTGCATTGGGGGATACAGGGCGGAAGAGACGGGAGAACTGCACAGATTATATTAGTTGAGATGTATCACAGACATTTGATTTGATTGGATTCAAGAACTGACATCACAGCACTCGGGGCATTCCCATAAGCGCTCCGTCCCCATCTTCAGCAGCCAGCGAAGAGTTCCGATACTAATGGTGCCAGTAGCTTTCTGATTAAACCTCCGTCTTGCCTTTCCTCTGAGCCTTGAGCTTCTGCCAGAACCTCGCGTCACCCCCAACTGCACCAATCTCACCAGACTGTCGTGATCCCTCTGCTCCTCCACATTGTACACGCTCTCCTACAAGGCACTAACCACATCTGCCCTTTCATGTAGCAGTATTCCACCAAGTTGTGCAGAGCCAGCCAGTCTGTCCGCCTGTTCATTTCCCAACACACCGGCGTTACCCGGTGAAAAAATCCAGACAATACTCCTCACTCGTGTCCTCCGCAGCGAAGCATGCCACTCTGCACGAAGCATACCTGTTCTGATCTTCCTCAGCATGCTTTCTGAATCAGTTACAATTATAATGCGTGTGTGTGTGTCATGTTCTCTAGCCAGCGGAAAGCTGCAGTGACCGCCTCCACCTCCATTCTTAAGCTGGATGTTGTGGTATCATATGCTAGGCTCTCCTGCACCAAACGTCGACCATTAACTTTTGCTCTTGACACTGAACCGTCTGTGTAAATTTCTGAATTTCCACCTCTGTGGCACCTGCTGGCCAGTCTCTGCATTCCCGGCTCAGTGTGATTATGACTCTACACAAGTCTGACTGCTCAGGTGGCACTTTGACCCACTCCTCTCCTCGCCTAATGTTCTCAAGGAAGCAAACCTGATTGTGACTTCTGCCTGAGCCATCCATAACCTCCCTCTTATCAGCCACTGACCCTTAACTGCACCCAGATATAAATACCACAATCATTAACACAGAATAGAGGAAGCATAAACTGTTATATGTAATGAAGAACATCTTATGCAATGAGTCCATGTCATTGGAATTAAGAGAAACATCACTTTGGCCAGACATTGGAAATAGTCACATTTAGAGCACATGAGACAAGAAAACAGAAAGGTACATAAAACAAGAGGACAGATTAATGAGCAGAGAAGATAGCAAGAACAGATTCTTGACAACTTGTCATGATGGCATGACCACATGTGTGCCCCACACCAGTACTGTTTGTGTGTCAGTAGATGTTGAGTTGACTCTCTGTCAGTAGATGTTGAGTTGAGCTCTGTCAGTAGATGTTGAGTTGAGTCTCTGTCAGTAGATGTTGAGTTGAGTCTCTGTCAGTAGATGTTGAGTTGAGTCTCTGTCAGTAGATGTTGAGTTGAGCCTCTGTCAGTAGATGTTGAGTTGAGTCTCTGTCAGTAGATGTTGAGTTGAGCCTCTGTCAGTAGATGTTGAGTTGAGTCTCTGTCAGTAGATGTTGAGTTGAGTCTCTGTCAGTAGATGTTGAGTTGACTCTCTGTCAGTAGATGTTGAGTTGAGTCTCTGTCAGTAGATGTTGAGTTGACTCTCTGTCAGTAGATGTTGAGTTGACTCTCTGTCAGTAGATGTTGAGTTGACTATCTGTCAGTAGATGTTGAGTTGAGTCTCTGTCAGTAGATGTTGAGTTGAGCCTCTGTCAGTAGATGTTGAGTTGATTCTCTGTCAGTAGATGTTGAGTTGAGCCTCTGTCAGTAGATGTTGAGTTGAGCCTCTGTCAGTAGATGTTGAGTTGAGCCTCTGTCAGTAGATGTTGAGTTGAGCCTCTGTCAGTAGATGTTGAGTTGAGTCTCTGTCAGTAGATGTTGAGTTGAGTCTCTGTCAGTAGATGTTGAGTTGATTCTCTGTCAGTAGATGTTGAGTTGAGTCTCTGTCAGTAGATGTTGAGTTGAGTCTCTGTCAGTAGATGTTGAGTTGAGCCTCTGTCAGTAGATGTTAAGTTGACTCTCTGTCAGTAGATGTTGAGCAAATACTTCTGTTGGCAGATGTTGAGCAAATACTTCTGTTGGCAGATGTTGAGCAAATACCTCTGTCAGTAGATGTTGAGCAAATACCTCTGTCAGTAGATGTTGAGCAAATACCTCTGTCAGTAGATGTTGAGCAAATACCTCTGTCAGCAGATGTTGAGCAAATACTTCTGTTGGCAGATGTTGAGCAAATACTTCTGTTGGCAGATGTTAAGTAGTCACTTCAAAGCAACATGACACCAGTGTTGCTGTATGTAAGCATTAGTTGAATAGTCACTCCAAGGTAATAAATATGTCACCAGTGTTGAGTAGTCACTCTAAAGCAACATGTCACCAGTGCTGCTGTACGTATGCTATCATTTATTTATGTGAGTTAATGTCTACTTTATGTGGGTTCACAGTACCAGTGTTGTGGCTTCAATAACTATGAAGATTACAGCAAGGAAAATGAACAATTCAAAGGCAATTCAGAAAAACCTAAAGTTCCAGAATCTTGTTGTAAACAAAAAGTAAGTTGTGTCTTCAATGTCAGATATTGAATCAGATTGTTTGTTGTATATAGTTAGTGTTCTGTGGGTATTTTCACCAGGCATGCAGGAATTGTGGGACATGAACAGGCAGACACATTGGCTCGTTGTGCTCTAATGGGTGGTGAATTTATGCATGACGACCTAGATAAGGTCAAGGCCATCTGGGAGCAAGTGAACAGTGTAGAGGCACAAACAGATCATTATGATCAGTTGGCAGTGACCAGGGGCTCTGGTCCCTGGTCAGTTGGCAGTGACCAGGGGCTCTGGTCCCTGGTCAGTTCGCAGTGACCAGGGGCTCTGGTCCCTGGTCAGTTCGCAGTGACCAGGGGCTCTGGTCCCTTTCTACACTCGGAGGAAAGGTCAAATGAACATATAATCAAACTGCTACTTAATTTTCATGTTATTTTAATCCTCTTTACATACTTGGTTTAAATCATTTAAATGGTCTTGCAGTTTTATTTCTGAAGTAGCAATTAGTGCTTGTCGTCTGCAAATAGTAATTCTGTGTAAAACTGTTTGGCTTTGGTTCTTACCCTTGGTGTATTAGGGTCCCTATTTGATTTGTTTCTGGACAGATGTTGTCAGTGCCAATTATGAAAAGTAGAGGAGACAGGAAACTTCCCTGTGGTACTCTTGCTTTGTTGGTGAATGGTTCTGAATGTCCTCCATGTTGCATGTCAAATCAGGTGGTGGGGTGGGGGGTATCAACATTGTTAATGTTAATTCTAATACAGCTTAGTTAACTAGGGTGTTGACATGGTCCTAAATCACTATTTGGGTTCTGTGTTGACTTAGGATGGGAGCTGTCGGTGCAGCCTAAGTCAATATTTGGGTTCTGTGTTGACTTAGGATGGGAGCTGTCAGTGCAGCCTGAGTCAGTAATTTGAGTCTGTTTTCACTTAGGACCCATGAACCAGTGGACTCATGAGGTAATTAGTCATACCTAGTTCCTGCCGAGCAAGGCTGGTATTAGAGAAAGTGTGCATGAGTGTGGGAACCTCAGTTATCACGGATTAGTCACAGAGTACACATGCATGTAGATTGTGCAGAGCTGTCGGAGAAAGCAGAGCATTTCAGAGTTGAGGTCAGAGTCGTGGAGAAGAGTTGAGCAGAGCAGAGCTGTGTGTACCTCTGTGAGATAACTGGCCTTGGGTGACAACACATGTGGCAGTCATGGTCACTACTGAAACAAGGCAGCGATTCTACTTAGAGAAGAAAATCCCATAGATGACAGCATCAGTTGTGGGCTGAAGGGACGCACAGTTTGGAGTCCTGCCAGTAATTGTAAAATCTATCGACTTGGCTGATTTGCTGTGTGCATAATGTGAGCTTGAGAATTGTTAAGTTCTCAATCAGCCAAGATAAAAGTGCCTGTTAGGAGTAAATCAACAGTTGTTTATTGTTACTGCTAGCCCTGACATGAGGACCGAGGCACTGAAGCAGTGAGCTCAAGAGTCTGATTGACAGCGAGCTGTAAGCTGTATTATGGAGCCCCGCTAGGACTGTTTTTGGGAGTACGAAGTGTAATGAGGTTAATTCCATGTTAGCTAGCGTAAGGACATGCATCATTATGCTTCATATGATTTCTTGTGTGCGGGTTTTCCTGACATTATGCTTGTGTGTTGTGTGCGGGTTGGTAGACCCCAACGTTCTTGTCAGTAAATGTATGACAGACAACCGTTGTTGAGTTTTCCTGACATTATGCTTGTGTGTTGTGTGCGGGTTGTTAGACCCCAACGTTCTTGTCAGTAAATGTATGACAGACAACCGTTGTTGAGTTTTCCTGACAGTATGCTTGTGTGTTGTGTGCGGGTTGGTAGACCCCAACGTTCTTGTCAGTAAATGTATGACAGACAACCGTTGTTGAGTTTTCCTGACAGTATGCTTGTGCGTTGTGTGCGGGTTGGTAGACCCCAACGTTCTTGTCGGTAAATGTATGACAGACAACTGTTGTTGAGTTTTCCTGACAGTATGCTTGTGCGTTGTGTGCAGGTTGGTAGACCCCAACAGTATGCTTGTCGGCAAATTCTTGTGGGTAAATGTATGACAGACAACCGTTGTTGAGTTTTCCTGACAGTATGCTTGTGCGTTGTGTGTGGGTTGGTAGACCCCAACGTTCTTGTCGGCAAATGTATGACAGACAACCGTTGTTGAGTTTTCCTGACAGTATGCTTGTGTGTTGTGTGCGGGTTGGTAGACCCCAACGTTCTTGTCGGTAAATGTATGACAGACAACCGTTGTTGAGTTTTCCTGACAGTATGCTTGTGCGTTGTGTGCGGGTTGGTAGACCCCAACGTTCTTGTGAATAAATGTATGACAGACAATCGTTGTTGAGTTTTCCTGACAGTATGCTTGTGCGTTGTGTGCAGCAGTTTGGCGCGAGTGGTTATGGAGTTCGAGCACAAGTCATATCGTAGACACTTGGCTAGATGTAAATGTGCTGTCATCCCATATGAGCATACAACACTCCATTTGTTTTAAATATTGGCTTTTATATATATTTATTAGATGCCATGGATACATGTTTGTGTGACCAGCAGATACATGTCTGTGTGACCAGTAGATACATGTCTGTGTGACCAGTGGATACATGTCTGTGCGACCAGTGGATACATGTTTATGTGATCAGTGGATATACATCTGTGTGACCAGTGGATACATGTCTGTGTGACCAGTGGATACATGTCTGTGTGACCAGTGGATACAAGTCTGTGTGACCAGTAGTTACAAGTCTGTGTGACCAGTGGATACATGTCTGTGTGACCAGTGGTTACAAGTCTGTGTGACCAGTGGATACATATCTGTGTGACCAGTGGATACATGTCTGTGTGACCAGTGGATACATGTCTGTGTGACCAGTGGATACATGTCTGTTGTGACCAGTGGATAAATGTCTGTGTGACTACACCATAACAAGATTTTCTCATAGAAATCCTACTGGGGCTTAACTTAGCTCGTGCTCAATTTTAGGTCATAGCTTTTTTTTCAAGAAATTTTCAGATTATTTTCCCTGTATGACTCAGAAGGGAACTGTCTTTAATGCCTGAGCAGTGTAGGAAAGGGGGATATTGTTGTAACACCAGGGCTAAAGGCGACTGTTGATGATTTGCCAGCTTGGATGTGAATGTGTAGTTCATTGATGTTCTCTTTCCCAGCAGGGTGTTGTGATGACTCGTGTCTGTGGCTATGAGGTCAATGGGAATCTAACGGTAAGTTCGATGTTTTTCTGTGTGATCAGTGGATACCTGTCTTCTCTGACCAGTGGATACCTGTCTATGTGTTTGATAAATGGATACCTATCTGTGTGTGTAACCAGTGGATAAATGTCTGTGTGACCAGGGTTTACATGTCTGTGGGACTAGTGGATACATGTCTGTGTGACTAGTGGATACATGTCTGTGTGACCAGTGGATAAATGTCTGTGGGACTAGTGGATACATGTCTGTGTGACTAGCGGATACATGTCTGTGTGACCAGTGGATAAATGTCTGTGGGACTAGTGGATACATGTCTGTGTGACTAGTGGATACATGTCTGTGGGACTAGTGGATACATGTCTTTGGGACCAGTGGATACATGTCTGTATGATTAGTGGATAAATGTCTGTATGATAAGTAAATAAATGTCTGTGTGTGTGATCAGTGAATACATGTCTTTGTGTGTGATCAGTGGATAATTGTCTCTATGACCAGTGGATACATGTCTATGTGACCTGTGGATACATGTCTGTGTGTGACCAGTAAATGCATGTTTATGTGACCTGTGGATACATGTCTGTGTGTGACCAGTGAATGCATGTCTATGTGACCTGTGGATACATGTCTGTGTGTGATCAGTGGATACTTGTTTCTGTGACCAGTGGATAAATGTCTGATCAGTGGATACATGTTTTATGTGTGTGATCAGTGGATACATGTCTGTGTGACAAATGGATACATGTAAATGTGACCAATGGATACATCTATATGTGACCAGTGGATACACATCTATGAGACCAGTGAATCCATGAATTTGTGACTATTAGATACACATTTGTGATCAGTGGATACATGTCTGTGTGACCAGTGGATACATGTCTTGTGTGACCAGTGGAATCCTGTCTATGTGTCTGATAAATGGATACCTGTGTGTGTATTACCAGTGGATACACATCTGTGATCAGTGGATACATGTCTGTATGAGCAGTGAATACATGTGTGTTTCTTCTTCTTCTTTTGTTTGCTGGAAATAGATTATCTATATCTGCAAGTCTGTTTTTAGTATGAACTGACTGTCTGTTGTAATTCAAGCAGAGATCCGTAAAGTATGGCTTTTCACCAGTGTTTCTCGTGACCAAAAAGTTTGCTTTGATGTGTTGTATCTGGGACAGTCTTGGAGGGTGTGATCTGTTGTATCTGGGACAGTCTTGGAGGGTGTGATCTGTTGTATCTGGGACAGTCTTGGAGGGTGTGATCTGTTGTCACGGGTGCTAATCCTGATGTACACATGGCTGATTCGCAAATCTAACATTTTCTGTGGCTGCAAAGGTGATTGTGTCCTGTTCCAAATAACAACTTACTGTGGTCTGTCCATTATTTGATAATCATCTGTTTCCCGTTTGGGTGGCTTTCTGATTGATTTAAATATTCTTTTCTTCTTTTGCTGAAGAGACTGGTACGTCAGGTTGTTTTATATTGCACATTCCAACGCAAGCTTATCAGCTCTTTCATTTCCAGGAACTCCACAGTGGTATGGTATCCATTGCATTGCTACTTTATATTGGTTGTCCAGTTCAGAGAGTAGTTTCTAAATACACATTGCACATTCCAACGCTAGCTTATCAGCTCTTTCATTTCCAGGAACTCCACAGTAGGATCCATTGCATAGCTACTTTATATTGGTTGTCCAGTTCAGAGAGTAGTTTCTAAATACCTGGTAATTTTCCAGATTCAAGTGCCTGAAGTAGCGCTCTAGCATCTGTCAGGAATACTACAGAGTTGTGAAGTCGCTTTCCTGTTGGTATTTTGGTTGTATCTCTGGTAATTATTTGGATGATCAGTGTACACTCCTCCATTTCTGCTTGCGTTTTGTGCTGACCCATGCACACTATTTTGTCCTTCCTTGTCGAATACCCCTTTCACTTCTGTCTGATTGTGTATTGGCAAAGTATAATTCTTTATTCAGTGGTCAGATCTGGGACAGCATATAAGGGGCTATCACCTGCAGGCAGATCAGTGGTTTGACTACAAAGTGTTTTTAATCAGTGGATACATGTCTTTATGTGTGATCAGTGGATGATTGTCTCTGTGATGTGTGGATGCATGTCTTTATGAATGATCAGTGGATGATTGTTTGTCTGTGATGTGTGGATACATGTCTTTATGTGTGATCAGTGGATGATTGTCTCTGTGATGTGTGGATACATGTCTTTATGAATGATCAGTGGATGATTGTTTGTCTGTGATGTGTGGATACATGTCTTTATGTGTGATCAGTGGATGATTGTCTCTGTGATGTGTGGATACATGTCTTTATGTGTGATCAGTGGATGATTGTCTCTGTTTTGTGTGGATACATGTCTTTATGTGTGATCAGTGAATACTTGTGTCTGTGATCCGTGGATATATGTCTGTGTGGATACATGATTTATGAGTTAGATTATCTTCACAGAATTCCGAACACATCCAAAGGCGCTTAGATTCCCCTCTCAAAATATTCAGCAAGATCACACGGTTAATAGTGCCAGTCCTATGCTGGTTGACAAGACTTTGTGTGCATCTGGTTTGATTCTCATGCTTGGCTGTGCTGATCTTTACTCCCAATTCCCATATTCTTAGCAGTGATGTGGACACATAGCTTCAAAAATCCTCAGAATGTCCTGTCTTATTAAGGGCATTGACAGTGTCTGCGTGATCCTTGGGCTGGCCATCTTCAGGTACTGCAACACCTGCCAGTCTATCAGTTCTTTCATTACAAACAATACCTGCATTCCCTGGGACAAATATGAAGGTAGCTGCACACACAGGATAGTTTTGCAGTGACTCAATCCACTGTCTGCGTAACTAGCCTGCCTCGACCCGACTGGATCATGCTTAAAGAATCACTCAGCACACACACACGGGAAATAGTCCTGCGATTCTAGCCACATGAAAGCTTGTGTCACCGCCATCACCTCCATCGTCATGCTGCTGGTAGTCATGGAGAAGGCACTGCTGGCTTCTTGGACTGTTCTACATAAAGAGCAAGCTGTAAATGCCTGTGTGCTCTTATGTCCTCGTATAACAAACCCGTCTATGAAGATCAGCTGTCTCTGTGGATATATGTCTGTGTGATCAGTGGATACAAGTCTGTGTGATCAATGGATATGTGTCTGTGTGTTCAGTGGATACTTCTCTGTGTGACTAGTGGATAAATGTCTGTGAGATACATCTCGTCTGTCTGTGTGATCAATGGATTCTTGATGACATCATCTGTGCTGACCATTAGGTAGGACTCGATAGACTGATAGTCTGTAACACTGCCTTTACTAAACTGATAGTCTGTAACACTGCCTTTACTAAACTGATAGTCTGTAACACTGCCTTTACTAAACTGATAGTCTGTAACACTGCCTTTACTAAACTGATAGTCTATAACACTGCCTTTACTAAACTGATAGTCTGTAACACTGTCTTTACTAAACTGATAGTCTGTAACACTGCCTTTACTAAACTGATAGTCTGTAACACTGCCTTTACTAAACTGATAGTCTGTAACACTGCCTTTACTAAACTGATAGTCTGTAATACTGCCTTTACTAAACTGATAGTCTGTAACACTGCCTTTACTAAACTGATAGTCTGTAACACTGCCTTTACTAAACTGATAGTCTGTAACACTGTCTTTACTAAACTGATAGTCTGTAACACTGCCTTTACTAATGAACACAATGGAATGCAGTTCATCCAATGTTACCAGACGGTCAGCATCAATGATGTAGTCAACTCGATGAATGTTGTTTAGGGTTGTGGTAGACGATAAAGTCAACTCGATGAATGTTGTTTAGGGTTGTGGTAGACGATGTAGTCAACTCGATGAATGTTGTTTGGAGTTGAGGTAGATGATAAAGTCGATAAAGTCAACTCGATGAATGTTGTTTGGGGTTGCGGTAGACGATAAAGTCAATAAAGTCAACTCGATGAATGTTGTTTGGGGTTGCGGTAGACGGACAGCCAGTCCAATTTGCGTCAGCCGGAGGATTGGCCTACCTCAGCTTCATCATGAGAATATACCCTGCGTTGGATAGTACTAACATCCACTACAAGGGTTTATGGTTGTGAACCAGGCTCCGCCGTCAGTATTGAGTAATTCTATGACTTAACACTGTTGTAACCAGACATCTTTGATAGCCGTTTAAAAGCTATTACAGTGGTGCCACCTGTCACAGAAAGTGTTAATGCCACACAGTGCACAAATGTCTGAGCAGTCATGCGCTCAATGTACACACACACACACATACAAAAAGTAAAGGACCCTTTTCCATGCTTTTAGGCATATAGGGCTAGACCGATATTTTTATAGACCAATCGGCACAAGATGGATGATGTCAGCATCATGCCGGCCGCCTTTACTTTCCAGGGACTGCATCTGGTACCCACTCAAGGCTGGGTCGACCTGAAAGCCAATGTCATTTAAAAAAAAAAAAAAGTCTGGCTCAGCCAGGGAGTGAACCTACGACTTTCCAGTCTGCTCCGCCTTGGTGACTCCCACACTGATATATTATTCAAATATATTTGCAAAAAAAAAAAAAATTGGAGGCATTAATTTTTTATACTGACCCTAAAACTTGCCTGACATAATTCTTTCACTATGCTTTCACTATGATTGATGCCTGTAGCTATGGTACATTTGTCACTTTAATACATTTTGGACTAATACATCCCCCCATATAGGTGTGGGCCTTCATTGACTGCCTCCCTGACAAGCAGGTTGTAAGAGTTGACTAATACATCCCCCCATATAGGTGTGGGCCTTCATTGACTGCCTCCCTAACAAGCACGTTGTAAGAGTTGACTAATACATCCCCCCATATAGGTGTGGGCCTTCATTGACTGCCTCCCTAACAAGCACGTTGTAAGAGTTGACTAATACATCCCCCCATATAGGTGTGGGCCTTCATTGACTGCCTCCCTAACAAGCACGTTGTAAGAGTTGACTAATACATCCCCCCATATAGGTGTGGGCCTTCATTGACTGCCTCCCTAACAAGCACGTTGTAAGAGTTGACTAATACATCCCCCCATATAGGTGTGGGCCTTCATTCACTGCCTCCCTAACAAGCACGTTGTAAGAGTTGACTAATACATCCCCCCATATAGGTGTGGGCCTTCATTGACTGCCTCCCTAACAAGCACGTTGTAAGAGTTGACTAATACATCCCCCCCATATAGGTGTGGGCCTTCATTCACTGCCTCCCTAACAAGCACGTTGTAAGAGTTGACTAATTAGAGGTTTCCTTCTAAGTCAGAGTGGACCCGCTTGAGGCAAGGAATCAAGTCTGTGTATACATCAGCAAGTTCTGCAACAAGACCAAAGTCCACAAGTGGATGCAACACACAACTGTCTGCCAGAGTTTACAGCTGGTCAGCCTGAAGAAAACAGGAACAGACTGATACATGCTTGCCTCTTTGATCAATCTCTTACTCTTACTTTTATACCATTTTTTTAAAACCGATAACTGCATGATATATCTCTTACTTGTGTACATGTTTTTACCGATAACTGCATAAAAAATCTCCCAATTTTGTACATTTTTAAAAACTGATCCGTGCATAGTAAATCTGCCACTGGATATATACATGTTTGTGTAATAAATACTTCACTGTGAAATATGTGTGGTAAATATCTCATGATGATGGATGTATCAGTCACTGTGATTCACAACAATGTTGATTGTTTCAGATGGCTGATGTTGTCAATGTGGAAGGCTGCACTTATTCACTCATTAATTGGCTCATGGAGCACTTGGATCTGGTTGGGGCCATAGCTCTTGGATTTGCAATACCCCAGGTAATTGTCCCAGATACTTAACTACACCCCAGGTAATTGTCTCAGATACTTAACTATACCCCAGGTAATTGTCTCAGATACTTAACTACACCCCAGGTAATTGTCCCAGATACTTAACTATACCCCAGGTAATTGTCCCAGATACTCAACTATACCCCAGGTAATTGTCCCAGATACTTAACTATACCCCAGGTAATTGTCCCAGATACTTAACTATACCCCAGGTAATTTTCCCAGATACTTAACTATACCCCAGGTAATTGTCCCAGATACTCAACTATACCCCAGGTAATATCCTTGTCTCCTCAATCCATTTATTTCCCATTTTAATGCCCATTTGGTGATTCTCTGCTGGTTCCTTCGCAGGATGTGTCCAATATAGCGCTATCTTTTCTGTCTTATAACTGTTGATGCTAGTAGTAGCTGCGCGGACATTTTTAAAATTTCCTCACTCCTTTTGAATTCATCCCATTTCATTGTCATTATTTTCATCAATGAAACATTTTCTTTTGGAATGCATTTAACTCTCGTTGCATGTCTTTAGTGGTTCTCCAACGGTCACTTGCATATGTTACAACTAAAATAACACTAGAACTGAAAAGAGTTAACTTCATTTTAAATCTTTACAGTTTAGAGTTATATATTTTGTTGAAGCTGTTAAAAAACCTCTGATGCCTTGTCAGTGTGTTTCTGTCTTTGTATTTCCTTCATTATCAGAATTACTAACTGAATAATTCAACTGATCTGTTACTTGAATTACTTTTGTCTCTAGTGTTACATCTGCTTGATCTGTTGTTGGTGTCTTCAGTATATTTGTCTTTTCATAACGTATTAGTAGTCCAATCCTTGATGCTAGATTTGCTCACTCATCTGTTTTCCTTCACACTTCATTGCTGTTGTTACTTAGCACAACAATATCATCAGCACATCCACATCAGGCATATTTTCCCTTCAAAACTGACATTGACTCCCAGGTCGACCTAGCCTAGAAGGATACCAGGTGAAGTCCTGGGAAGTCAAGGTGGCTGTTTAAATGTTGACCACAGTACCACTGATTGCCGATTCATCTATAAAAATATAAGTCTTCCATTCCGTATACCCAGTGCACCACCGGTTGGGGGGGGGGGGGGGGGGGGGGGGGGGGGGTCCTTTACTTGAGTCATTTAAATAAAAGAATACTTCTTTTTTGTTATATTCTATATTACATTCACACTATATCAAGTCTTCTGTTCTCTTATATAACAATGTTACATGTGTGTAATATCTGTATAATCTCTCTTCTTCTGTTCTCTTATATAACAGTGTTACATGTGTGTAATATCTGTATAATCTCTCTTCTTCTGTTTGTGTATGTACAAAGTATTTGATGTTTCTGACACTGGAAATAATGTGTTTTCTCATCCAGTCATATTTCATTTTGTAGATTTTTGGCATCTTGCTGTCCTACTACTTTCTGCGGAAGGTCAAGGAATACAGAGTTTGGTATCGTGTAGACTTCAGAAGTTAAAACATTGGGTCAGAGGTTAGGCCTGCAACTTCCTACAGGAGACAACAGATAGAAACAACACATAAAGAAATCTGGGACGACTATCTCCGGGACAAGCTAGTGTAGCTGCCATATGTTGTCTAATATTATTTATTGACAGAGTTGATGTTGATGTTCGTAGCCATTGAAGTGTTTCCCTGTAAAAATATATCTGTGCACACATTCAAGATTCCCTGTTAGTGTTGCTGGCTTCAGTACCGCACTCTGTGCTTCCGGTCACTCTAGATGTTGTCGTCATCTTTATTGTCATTGAGGCTGTCTCATTATGCTTTCATTTGTTTATGGAGCTTGTGGCTGCTGAGGCAGGAATCTCATACTGTGTGCTGCTTCTTTCTGTTTTTGATTTAGTAGTCACTGTCAGGAGGCTGTGCAGCTGTCACATTACGTCTGGGGCACAAATATCCTTTCATATTGTTTCATACATAAAACAATTTTATTCTAATATTTGACATGAACATTTAGATTCATCTGTTTCTGAACAGACACATTTAGGATGATGTGGTGGATAAACATGTAGAGATTGTCTCATGATGTCACATCAGACTGTGTTGTTTCCTTGTATCTACCCTTGTGCTTTACAGTAAACACAGAGCTAGTTGTAAGACATCACAGATCATGTATGTGGTTTACAGTAAACACAAAGCTAGTTGTATGACATCACAGATCATGTATATGGTTTACAGTAAACACAAAGCTAGTTGTATGACATCACAGATTATGTATATGGTTTACAGTAAACACAAAGCTAGTTGTATGACATCACAGATCATGTATGTGGTTTACAGTAAACACAAAGCTAGTTGTAAGACATCACAGATCATGTATGTGGTTTACAGTAAACACAGAGCTAGTTGTATGACATCACAGATCATGTATATGGTTTACAGTAAACACAGAGCTAGTTGTGTGACATCACAGATCATGTATGTGGTTTACAGTAAACACAGAGCTAGTTGTAAGACATCACAGATTATGTATATGGTTTACAGTAAACACAGAGCTAGTTGTATGACATCACAGATCATGTATATGGTTTACAGTAAACACAAAGCTAGTTGTATGACATCACAGATCATGTAAGTGGTTTACAGTAAACACAAAGCTTGTTGTATGACATCACAGATCATGTATGTGGTTTACAGTAAACACAAAGCTAGTTGTAAGACATCACAGATCATGTATGTGGTTTACAGTAAACACAAAGCTTGTTGTATGACATCACAGATCATGTATGTGGTTTACAGTAAACACAGAGCTAGTTGTGTGACATCACAGATCATGTATATGGTTTACAGTAAACACAGAGCTAGTTGTGTGACATCACAGATCATGTATGTGGTTTACAGTAAACACAGAGCTAGTTGTAAGACATCACAGATTATGTATATGGTTTACAGTAAACACAGAGCTAGTTGTATGACATCACAGATTATGTATGTGGTTTACAGTAACACCGGAGCTAAACACACAGATCATGTATGTGTGGTTGTACAGTAAACACAGAGCTAGTTGTATGACATCACAGATCATGTATGTGGTTTACAGTAAACACAAAGCTAGTTGTATGACATCACAGATCATGTATATGGTTTACAGTACACAGAGAGCTAATTGTATGACATCACAGATTATGTATATGGTTTACAGTAAACACAGAGCTAGTTGTATGACATCACAGATCATGTATGTGGTTTACAGTAAACACAAAGCTAGTTGTATGACATCACAGATCATGTATGTGGTTTACAGTAAACACAAAGCTAGTTGTAAGACATCACAGATCATGTATATGGTTTACAGTAAAAACAAAGCTAGTTGTATGACATCACAGATCATGTATGTGGTTTACAGTAAACACAGAGCTAGTTGTATGACATCACAGATCATGTATGTGGTTTACAGTAAACACAGAGCTAGTTGTATGACATCACAGATCATGTATGTGGTTTACAGTAAACACAAAGCTAGTTGTATGACATCACAGATCATGGATGTGGTTTACAGTAAACACAAAGCTAGTTGTATGACATCACAGATCATGGATGTGGTTTACAGTAAACACAAAGCTAGTTGTAAGACATCACAGATCATGGATGTGGTTTACAGTAAACACAAAGCTAGTTGTGTGACATCACAGATCATGGATGTGGTAAACACAAAGCTAGAAGTATGACAACTGCTGTGCAACTGCAATTGGTTTTGTATGATTACTGATATCACCTGCAGGTGACTTCCAACTCTGATTTGTCAGGATTATGAATCTGCACTCTCAACCACTAAGCCATAAACTGACTTTATGATCTTAAAGATATATCCTGAGGTTATTAGAGGCCATTCACTAGTTTGTTTGTTGGCCAAGATCAATTTAATCTTTACCAGACATGTTATGTTTGCTGCATAATTTGCTGACTAGTTCAGATTTGTTACAGAACCCTTTCTTGCTATTAGCTTCATAAATAAATTTCAAGGTATTGATCAGCACTTTTTGAAGAAGACAAGGAATTTGATGAATCACTCCTGTGGAGCTTAAGGAATGAACTTGTGAATCAAGAGGTGAGGACAAGATGGTGTAAAACACCTGAAAATATAACTAGAATTGTCGAGCATTGGAACCCACAGTGTCAGAACAATAAAAGCAGACCTAAAGAAAAATGAAGAAGGGAAATCTAAAAAAAAAAAAAAAGATAGGGAAGACGTGGGGTGCTAGCAACAGACAGAAGGACTTGATGATGGTGGAGAGCCTATACTCCACTGGGGCAGTAAAACACAATCTCTCTGTGAGGCACTACCTTCTGTAGGCAACTGGTTCAAATCATAGTGGGCCAGTGAGCTTTCAATTTTTGTATTGTCAAGTGTATTCTCTTATCTCTAGTTCTTTTTTGTAATTTTTATGAATGATAATCATTCCTTGCAGATTTCATTCTTCTCAGTAATCTGAAAGATTATGGATCTTGTTTGCTGCAAATTAGTAGTTAGTCATAGAGTATAATAGTTAAGTAGTTGAGGATGGATGATGTTTGCCATCTTAGATGTATTGTGTTTTTCTCTCTCTCAGATGTGTTTACTGAGCACATTTTGGTGTCTCGCATGTTAACAACAGTGGATACTTTTGAAATCCCCAGGTGTGGGTACAGAGCACACACTTTTTATCCCCAGGTGTGGGTACAGAGCACACACTTTTTATCCCCTTGTGTGGGTACACAACACACACTTTTTATCTCCAGGTGTGGGTACACAACACACACTTTTTACCCCAGGTGTGGTACACAACACACACTGTTTTCACCAGGTGTGGGTTACACAACACACACTTTTTATCCTTAGGTGTGGGTGTACAACACCCACTTTTTATCCTCAAATTAAACAGCAATACTTTTTATCCTCAGATAAATACATACGTTTTCTTCAGTGTATCCATGTACGACCTACTTGTCAGAATATGTTTGACTGATATGTGAGCTATGGTTCTATTGCTGGCAGTCTGTGATGTACCACTCTTGTCCTGCTTGATTGCGTATTCATCTGCTGACATGTTTGAAGCATGACCTGGCAGTACATCCACATCAGTCAGTCATTGCTGGAGAGAAGTGCTTTCAGATCACTTGCCTCTGACTTCTAACAAGATACCACACTAGTAGGATTATTGACACTGATTCACTGACCACACATTCAATCCAATATTTTTCACTTTGGCTGGATTTCACTGGGTTTTTGCAGTCTCAGTAATTATTATATTTGTAGATTTGCACTTTTTTGTGTTAATTTTTCTCATGTTTAGAGTCACATACAGCTCAGTATTTCCATTGTCCTTTGACAATTATTTCCACTGTCAAGAGTTTGACACTGTACACACATTCCTTTGTGTGTGGTCAATCCTTGTGTGACAGTTAAGGTGGTGATGACTCATAGCAACAATCCTTGTGTGACGGTTAAGGTGGTGATGTAGCCACAATCCTTGTGTGACGGTTAAGGTGGTGATGTAGCCACAATCCTTGTGTGATGGTTAAGGTGGTGATGTAGCCACAATCCTTGTGTGACGTTTAAGGTGGTGATGACTTGTAGCCACAATCCTTGTGTGATGGTTAAGGTGGTGATGACTTGTAGCCACAATCCTTGTGTGACGGTTAAGGTGGTGATGACTTGTAGCCACAATCCTTGTGTGACGATTAAGGTGGTGATTACTTGTAGCCACAATCCTTGTGTGACAGTTAAGGTGGTGATGACTTGTAGCCACAAACCTTGTGTGGCTGTTGAGGTGGTGATGACTTGTAGCCACAATCCTTGTGTGGCTGTCGAGGTGATGATGACTTGTAGCCACAATCCTTGTGTGATGGTTAAGGTGGTGATGACTTGTAGCAACAATCCTTGTGTGATGGTTAAGGTGATGATGACTTGTAACAACAATCCTTGTGTGACGGTTAAGATGATGATGACTTGTAGCAACAATCCTTGTGTGACAGTTTTAAGGTGGTTGATGGACTTGTAGCCCACAAAACCCTTGTGTGGGGCTGTTTTTTGGTTTGAGGTTGGTGGGATGACTTGTAGCCACAAATCCTTGTGTGGGCTGTTCCCCGAGGTGATGATGACTTGTAGCCACAATCCTTGTGTGATGGTTAAGGTGGTGATGACTAGTAGCAACAATCCTTTTGTGATGGTTAAGGTGATGATGACTTGTAACAACAATCCTTGTGTGACGGTTAAGATGATGATGACTTGTAGCAACAATCCTTGTGTGACAGTTAAAGTGGTGATGACTTGTAGCAACAATCCTTGTGCAGTTTGATGTTTTAAAAAAATAAAATAATTCACCAGTCTGTAGAGTCTGAATGAAAAAACCCACCTCCACCAACCCGGGGAACTGAATGTTAACATTCACTAACTGGTGGAATCTTAGTCAAGGCTTCAACTCCAGCACAATCGGGTTTCCCCAAACTGACTCCATTCCTGTGCCAGTGAAAATC